TTTCAATAATTGCTTCAAAGCCTGTATTTTGTTCTACTAAAAGTGCAGTCTTGCTGGGCGTGATGGCTCACAGCTATAATCCCAGCACTTTGGGAGGCTGAGGTGGGTGGATCACCTGAGGTCAGGAGTTAGAGACCAGCCCGGCCAAACTGATAAAACCCTGTCTCTACTAAAAATACAAAAATTTTCCAGGCATGGTGGCGGGTGCTTGTAATTCCAGCTACTTGGGGGGCTGAGGCAGGTGAATCGCTTAAACCCGGGAGGCAGAGGTTGCAGTGAGTTGAGACTGTGCCATTGCACTCCAGCCTGTGCAACGGAGCAATACTCTGTCTCAAAAAAAAAGAAAAAAAAAAAAAAGTGCACTCTTTGCCTTCAGACTAAACACCCCAAACCACAAGAGTATCTAACACAACCAAGTCTTGAAAACAACTCTTTGACTCACACCTGGCCAGATGTTGAAATCTGAACATATTTGCTTGTAGAGGTCTACAAACCATTGTCTAAAATTTCAAAATAAAGAAAAAAACTCTAGAAACCTAAAGTTTTTCATAAGTTAGTGGCAAACTCATTTAGCAGCAAGATCTGAGCTACACAGATGTGTATATGTTTCTAGCCTTTGTTTATCCTACGTATGGTTGATACTAATGCATTTTTTGCATGCATATTTTGGTTTGATAGAAAGATACTGCTCCAGATCCTGCTGGGCTGTTACAGAATATATGGGATATGCATTATAGTCCTGTCTAAAATCCTGACAACTCTCAGTTCTGAAACACATCTGGCAAGAAAGAATTTGGATACAGGATTATGTGCCTATGCTAAGAATGAGATACGAATTTCTCTTAATCTCTGTTATTTATCTACTGTATTCCAAATATTTATCCAAATATGCCCTCTGTTATCTTATTGCTTCATATGTGAAAATTTGTCTTGAAAGTAGTTTTCTTCATTTTATCTATTTTAATATCAGTTAAATGTGTTGGAAATTCAATGTTCCCATTCATATGTTAGACTTTCTTTTTAAATCAGATTATAGGGAATTCTTTACTTCTTTGGGATCCCTGTGGCTCACTTCCATCAGATGAATCATCGTCATCCTCATATGAATCATCGCCAGAACAATTTCAAAGTATAGAACTAAAAGATATATCTAGTGGATAACATTATTTTGGAATGCATTTGGAAGATTAATGTCACATTTATAAGCCATTGACATTTGGCAGTCTCAACAGATGAAAGCCTAATTTTTGCAGATTAAGATGTGAAGGGGGCAATGACAAACTGAAATTATTGCAAAGAGAAAAAAAAAACCCACCTAAAATATATTTAGGAATGAACCAAACAAGAAATGTGTGGATCTGTGTGAAGAAAATGCTACTGGGAAACTTTAAAAGAAAACTTGGGAAAATGGAGGACCACATGTTTTCAGGTGGCATATTTAGTCTCAAAACAAAGAACAGTCAGGTGAGCTTAAATTGAAAGAGGGGTCTATTTGTTTTGGTGTTTTTTTGTTTGGTTGGTTAGTTTTTTTTGTTTTTGAGATGGAGTCTTGCTCTGTCACCCAGGCTGGAGTACATTATGATCTCGGCTGACTGCAACCTCCACCTCCCAGGTTCAAGTGACTCTTCTGCCTCAGCCTCCCGAGTAGCTGGGATTACAGGCATGTGCCACCACGCCTGGCTAATTTTTGTATTTTTAGTAGAGATGGGGTTTCACCATGTTGGCCAGGCTGGTCTCGAACTCCTGACCTCATGATCCCCTGCCTTGGCCTCTCAAAGTGCTGGGATTATAGGTATGAGCCACCAAGTCTGGGCAAAAAGGGGTCTATTTGAAGGAGGAGGGGTACCTTGTGGAGATCCCTAAGAGTGGATAGGGCAGTAGAGACTTAGTAGTGACAAGCTAGGACCTGGAAAGCCCCAGAACCCAGGGCAGGTAATCCATCATCTCCCTCTGGGGCCACAGGACTTCGAAACTGCTTCTCTGTGAATCTGCTTCTTTCTGCAGCCTTGCTTTCTCTGTAATACATACATGTGGATCAAACATCTCTCCCTCCTTTTCCCTTACTTTCTAGGTCAAGAGACCAGTTAAAACTATGTAACTGCACATTTCCAGGAAAGAATCTGATTGGACCAGCTTGAATCGGTTTTCTACCCACCCCTAGTCCACATTTCCGGGAAAGAGAATCTGATTGGACCAGCTTGAATCAGTTTTCTACCTGCCTCTATTCCAATCAGCTACAGCAAGGGAGAAGCGGGTTAATAAAGGATAAGGATGCCAACTGGGACCTGGGGGAGTGGTGGAGGCAAACTGACTGGCATGTTCATTATAAACAGATGAGCAGTTTCATATTGTGGAGAGGCAACAGGACAAGAGCACAGGCTCTGGGGTCAAACTGCCTAGCTTTGACTTTTGACCTCGCCACTTATTAGCAGCTTGACTTTGGACAAATTATTCAATTTCTTTTTATCTTTTTTTTTTTTTTTTTTTTTTTGAGATGGAGTCTGTCACCCAGGCGGGAATGCAGTGGCGCTGTCTTGGCTCACTGCAACCTCCACCTCCCAGGTTCAAGCGATTCTCCTGCCTCAGCCTCCCGAGTAACTGGGACTACAGGCGGGTGCCACCACATCTGGCTAATTTTTTGTATTTTTAGTAGAGACAGGGTTTCACCATGTTAGCCAGGATGGTCTTCATCTCCTGACCTCCTGATCCGCCCACCTCGGCCTCCCAAAGTGCTGGGATTACAGGCAAGAGTCAACGCGTGTGGCCAAATTATTCAATTTCTTTATGCCTCGGTTATCCCATCTGTAAAATGAGGGTGATAATAGAGTTGTGTGGATTACATAACACAAATAAGGCACTTCGTAGTTTATGTATTTATTACTTTTATAAAGATATCCATTGCCCCTAAATTTATCAATAAAAGTAACTGCAATTGCAATCAAAGTTACAATTTTTTTTTTTTTTTTTTGACAGAGTTTTGCTCTTGTTGCCCAGGCTGGAGTGCAATGGTGTGATCTCGGCTCACTGCAACTTCCAACTCTCGGGTTCAAGCGATTCTCCTGCCTCCGTCTCCCAAGTAGGTGGGATTACAGGCATGCACCACCACGCCCAGCTAATTTGGTATTTTTAGTAGAGATGGGGGTTTCTCCATATTGGTGAGGCTGGTCTCGAACTCCCGACCTCAGGTAATCCACCTGCCTCGGCCTCCCAAAGTGCTGGGATTACAGGCATGAGCCACCACACCCGGCCACAATTCTTTTTTAATTTGACAAAGTTTAAAGTTACCATGGAAGAAATAATGTATCTCTGGAGAGGATGGCAGGGATATCCTCTGCCATCCTGGGAAGAGCACACAGATTTATACACTATTGGTAATGTTCTAGGTTAAGTTGAGGTTGGCTTCATATTATTATGCTTTTAAACTTACATATATCACAAAATTATATTTTACATGTGTTAAATATATTTTTAAAGACTAGTAAGCAGAGATTTATCCCATCAGAAATTTTTAAATAATCTAAAGGTATGTTAAAACAGTATTACTGCCCAGTAGCAGATAAATCAGTGAAACAGAAAAAGTACATATGGACATTTAGTACAGTCATCCCATGGTAACTATGTGCGACTGTTTCCAGGAACCCCTGTGGATAATAAGTCCATTACATAAAATGTAATATTTGCATATAACCTACCCACATCCATCCTCCCGTATACTTCAAATCACTCTAGATTACTTATAATACCTAACGCAATGTAAATGCGTAGCATTTGTGCTGGAATTACAGGCGTGAGCCACTGCGCCTGGCAAATTATTTTTTTTAAACTCTAAAAATGCTAGAAGAAAATACAGGTAACCATGACATCAAAGCTAGAAACAAAGGAAATGACTCATTAGACATAACTACATAAAAATTAAAAACTTTCCTCAGTAAAAACAAAATTTAAAAAACCATAGGTGATATTAAAAGATTACTTTAAAAAACAGGAAAAATATCTGTAAATATCTCAAAGGTTAATATTTCTAATATACAAAAAGCACTTGCAATTTCTAAAATATGAATATTTCATTTTAAAAATAGGCAGAAGTCATGAACTAGCAATTCACAAAAGTAGAGCCAATAATGATATGAAAGATGTTCAGTTTTACACGTAGGCAACAAAATGCAAATTAAAACAGGCCTTTTTTAAAGAGATGATAAAGATCAGGAAGATTGACAATATCTAAGATTAGCAAGGAGATGCAGACAGCATATTTGTTCTCATACTGTTAATGGAAAAGTAGTAAATAGGTTTCTAGGGGAGCGTCTGGTAACATCATTTAGAATCTTACAAACGTGCATTTTCCTTGATCCAGTAATTTTACTTCTATGAATTTATTGTAAGAAAATAATCAAGGACATATACAGATTTACATATAAGAATATTCATCTAGGATTGTAGACCTGAAAAGCTGTCAATACCTGAAAAGTCCAACAGCTTAGGGACTGGTTGAACAAATCATATCCATACAGCCATTAAAAATGATTCTGTAGACTGGACCGGTGGCTCATGCCCACCATCCCAGCACTTCGGAAGCCTGAGGTGGGAGGATCACTTGAGCCCAGGAGTTCAAGACCAGCCTGGGCAACAGGGCAAGACCCCATCTCTTAAAAAAATATATATATATAAAAAATATATATATTATATATACACATGTGTGTATATATATATTTTTAAGAGATTTTACATATACATATATAATGTGTATATATTACATATTATACATATATTATACATATATTATATTACACACATACATTATATATAATGTATACACACGTATACATATATGTATATATAAAATCTATTTTAATTTATCTGCAAAGACATTACTGGGAGACAACACACTTACGTTTTCCTATTTTAAAAAACCAAACATCTTTACGTGTATGTATGAAAACTCTAAATTTATGTAGCAATATGTTAATAGTATTATCCATGGTGGCAAGAATGAGAGTTTAAGTTTCTTTTATAAACATGTATGTACTATTGAACTACTGCTGCTATTACAGGGAGCAGGCATTTTTTTAAACGCACTATTCTTACAATCAGGAAATACAGGACGCTATTACTTCGCGGGGGAAGACGGACACTGGGAAGAGTCCACGCCGGCGAAGGCAGGTGAAGACCGGGCTCGCTGACGCCCCCCGTCGCCCGCGCCTCTTCCCACAGCTCTCGGAGGAGCCCAGCGACCGGAAACACGCCACGCCGGGCCTCAGGAATTCTGGGCATGGGACGGACAGCTCGTGACCTCAGAAGAAGGAAAACGGTCACCTTCTGAAAGAAACACGAACTCCTTTTTCCTGTATCAGAACACTTCTCATTCCCCTGAGCGCGGCGTTTCTATCCTGAGGTGCTGGGAGGAGGTTCGAGGTGGGCTGGGTGACGGTTTTCTCTTGGAAATGAAAAACAGCCTTTCCCGCTACCCCCGCCCGCTCACACAAGAGAGGCTTGGAGTCCGCCCCGCGGAAAGCCGTTTCTATGGGTGACGACGTATGGCAACGCGTCTAAGGCGACGTCGGCGAGGGGACTATTGTGTTCCCAAAGTCGTCCTCAAAGGAGGACAGAAGTTTGGGGGAGCCGGGGGCGTAGAGGCGAGGCACGATCTGATTGGCCCGTGGCTCCGCAACGATGGGGCTGGACGGGGCGGAAGTACTGGCGTGCGCAGGGGCGTCCCAGCGCGCCGGCTAGTCTCTCTCACGCCCTTGCGGGTGCGCAGGTCTCTAAACTGGGCGGAGCGAGGGAAGTGATGTGTGGCTTCCGGAAGGACGCGCGTAAATTCTCCCCCATAAGTAACAAGTCGCGGTAGATAGTCCAGCGAGGCCTTCTTACGAGACCAAGCCCTTGGTGGGTGTGGCACTGGCGAACCCGAGGAATGAGAAAGGAGGCCCGGCAGAAAGTTCGGGTCAGCTGCTGGCCGCTCCAGTTGTAGCCTAGGGCGGGGAGGGATTGACTTCCCGGAACATCCTGGGGTAAAGACCTCGCAGAACAGCGAAACCGCTGAGGGACTGTTGGGTGGAGAGGCCTTGGAGACGGACAGGCCCACACACTCCCTTTCCTCCTGAGGGTCACCGACCCGCCTACTTGGGAACCAGATAGACCTGACGGTTGTGTTTGCGGAGTGGAGGTTGATGACCAGTTGTTGAGTGAATAGCAGAGACATTTGCGTAGGAGTGTTGATGCGAGGTTTTTTATTTTTTATTTTTATTTTTTGAGATGGAGTCTCGCTGTCTCCCAGGTTGGAGTGTAGTGGCGGGATCTCGGCTTATTCCAACCTCCGCCTCCCGGGTTCAAGCGATTCTCCTGCCTCAGCCTCCCGGGTAGTTGGTACTACAGGCACGTGCCACCACGCCCGGCTGATTTTTGTATTTTTAGTAGAGACGGGGTTTCACCATGTTGGCCAGGCTGGTCTCGAACTCCTGACCTCAGGTGATCCACCCGCTCGGCCTCCCAAAGTTGCTGGGATTACAGGCGTGAACCACTGCCCCCAGCCTTCTCCCTCACCCCCCCCGCCCGCCGCCCCCCAGACGGAGTTTAGCTCTTGTTGCCCAGGCTGGAGTGTAATGGCGTGATCTCGGCTCGCTGTAACCGCCACCTCTTGGCTTCAAGTGATTGTCCTGCCTCAGCCTCCCAAGTAGCTGGGATGACAAGCACCTGCCACCAAGCCCAGCTAAATGTTTTTGTATTTTTAGTAGAGACAGGGTTTCATCATGTTGACCAGGCTGTCTTGAACTCCTGACCACAGGTGATCCACCCGCCTCGGCCTCCCAAAGTGCTGGGATTACGGGCATGAGCCACCGCACCACCAAGCCTGGCCTGCAGGCTGTATATTCATCAGCAGCACTGGCATCTGCTTCTGGTGAGAACCTCAGGAAGCTTCCACTCATGGTAAAAGGTGAAGGGAAGCCAGTGTGTCACAGAAAAGAGGGGGAACAAGAGGAAAGGAGGTGCCAGGCTCTTTTTAACAATCAGTTCTCAGAGATTAAGAGTGAGAACTCATTACTGCAAGGATAGCACCAAGCCATTCATGAGAGATCTGCCCCCATTACTCAAACAACTCCCACTAAGCCTCACCTCCAGTGTTGGGAATCAAGTTTCAACATGAGATTTGAAGAGGAGAAATATCCAAACTGTATTGGGATTCAGCATGTGAATTGGGGGGTGGGGGCACAGACATTCAATCCATAGTAGTTATTTTTGGTGACCTACCATTTTCATTTTTAGAGAAACCATTCTTTTTCACTTATACTTAGCTAACTTTTCTGATATGAATAAAATTGCATATTTGTAATAACGAGTATGAGTGACATACACAGATTTAGGAACAAACTTTCCTGGTAAGCAAAAATCTCAGCTGGTAAGAGCAGAAGTGCATGGTCCTATTAAGAAGTAGCCTACAACTTTACTATAGCCTGCAGTGTGCTGCATGTTCTATGTGAATTTGCTTTACAGAGGGAATGAGCAAGATTGATTAATCCAGGGTTAGACAAGTGGCCTCTAAAGTGAGCTTCTCTTGCTCCACTGTTTTTCCAAACTCCCAGGGTAGAAACTCCTGTGTTTCTACTTGATATAGGAGTACTTGATATAGGAGTAAATTCATAGGATAAATTTCTAGCTTTGTACCTTTCTTTCATTTGATTAAACATTATGAAATATGTACTATATGATGAGCCCTGTTCTGAACCCTAAGGATTCAAAGATGAGTAAGACATGGTTCCTGTTCTTGAAAATTTCAGTATAGTAGTATAATTCTCAAAGCTGCCCAAAGGCACAATGCCTACATATGCACATGTTAACAACAGGGCCTCTAACTACAGTGTATACATGTAAGTCACCTGGGTGCCTGTAAAAATACATACTTCCACTTTATTTCTGTGAACCTCCTCCCTATAACCCGTATCTGATCACAAGAGAAAGACAAATTCCAGTAAAGGAGAATCCTGCCTGACCAGGGCTTTTCAAAACTGTCAGTATCATCAAAAACAAGGAAAGTTTGAGATAATGGCATCATCCAAAGGAGCCTAAGACAACCACCTAAATATAAACGTGGTACCCTGGACAGGATCCTGGAACATGAAAAGGTTATTAGGTAAAAAGGCAATCTGAATAAACTATGAACTTTAGTCAATAAGAATTTATCAATACTGGTTCATTAATTGTAATGAATGTTCCATTAATGTAAGATGTTAATAGTAAGGGGAACTGTAGTAGGTAGGGAAGGATATGAGAACTATACTATCTGCTCAATTTTTCTGTAATTCTAAAATTGTTCTAAAAAATAAAGTGTGGCTGGTTACAGTGGCTCACGCCTGTATTCCCAGCACTTTGGGAGGCCAAGCTGGGCAGATCACCTAAGGTCAGGAATTTGAGACCAGCCTGGCCAACATGGTGAAACCCTGTATCTACTAAAAATAAAAAAATTAGTGGAGCGAGAGGGCGGCTACTCAGAAGGCTACAGCAGGAGGATTGCTTGAACTCAGGAGGTGGAGGTTGTAGTGAGGCAAGATCGCACCACTCCACTCCAGCCTAGGTGACAGAGTGAGACTCCATCTCAAAAAATAATAATAAATAAATAATAAAATTTACTAGCCAGGCATAGTGGTGCCCACCTATCATCCCAGCTACTTGGGAGTCTGAGGTGGGAGGATCACTTGAGCCCAAGAGTTCAAGGCCAGCCTGGACAACATAGTGAAAACCTGTCTCTTAAAAAATTATTTAAAATTTAAAAATAAAGTTTATTAATTTAAAAGTATGTGTATTCTTGTGCTTCTCCCCTGGATTCAATAATTCAGAGGTGTCTGGAACTCTAAATTACTGATAATATGAATCATTATGAAGTAGGGGATTCACACAACACTTTGAGAAATACTGCAGATTTAGAGTAATGTAAGGTTCCACAGAAATTGGAGGCCCTAATGAATGACAATATGAGTGTGTTAGCAATAGTGACTTATTCAGGCTATCTCAATGGAGATTTATTACAAGACTGTGTGAATCAATAAGAGACAGAAGAATCCCACAGAAATCCTAGAGCAGTAATCAAAGCACAGACAAGTCCCATGGAGACAGAAATCACAGGATCCATCTCTAAAACTACATTGTTTTGGTAATCCTTCAGTTGCAGTTTGGATACTCTTTAAGAGTGGTATTCCACTTTAACATGATTCAGCTATTCTCTTGATCACTACTACCCTTGGAGGCATTTTCCCCTGCTTCTCTCACTGCCGACTAAATTTTCTTCACATTTCGCAGTTCTCATGGCCAAACTCAGAATCCTATTTCTTTGTCATCATTTGTCACCTCCTGCTTGGGCAGCTTAGCTGCCCTTGGTTCACTGCAAAGCAGAAGAGAAATGCAAGGTAGTATGGCCTGGCTGGAACTACTGACCTCAGGCAATCCACCCACCTCAGCCTCACAAAGTGCTGGGATTACAGGCCTGAGCCACTGCGCTCGGCCTTGTTGATACTCTCTCTTCAAGTGACCAGAGTGTTAAAAATTTTTGAAAGCCTTCATTTCCAATTTTATGTTAGTATTATTGTTATATGGAATAGAAATAACAATTGCTGGAGTAATATAAATTTAAATTATTTTAAATTTATAAATATAGTTTTTTTAAAAAAATTACATTTATAAATTTATATGAAGAGTTTACTATGAAGTCAGTAATTAAAAGCTAGTTAAATGTAAGCATTTGTTTAATGCTTTGGTTTCTAGTTTTCTGTCTAGGAGATAATATGCCCAAGGTTCTTTTTGAAAGTGTCTGGCCAGTGTAGGACAACAAGACAATCTTTCAAGGCTCCAGGTTAGTTAACTGTTTCTCTGCTTTGCATTGACTCAAATTCTCAAGAGCAAGACTGTGGTAAAATACAAAGGGAGAAACTAAACACACAAAAAGCAAAAGCAGGAGAGAGAAGAGGCTAGAAAGGAATGTTGAAGGAAGCAAACCATGTGCAGGGTAGGCTAATGATTCTGTAGTAAAAAATGCCCTCCAATTCTCAAGGACTTAGAACAGAGATTTATTTCTCACTTGTGCTACACTGGGACACTTGCTCATCATGGCAGAGAGAAAGCAGAACGTAGCGAACCACTGGCTCTCCAAACTCCTGCCAGGGAGTTGACACATGTCCTGTTCACTCGCATTTTACTGGTCAAAGCAAATTACATGACTGATTTCCTCAGGAAGGGGGTATATAATCAGCGTTTAGGAGAGGCACCACAGAAAGGGTACCAAATATGAGTCAGTAGTAGACAGAGTACCTCATAAAGACTACAGTCTTATGGGATTATTTAAAATTACATTTAACCTTATTTCAGCATGACTACTTTGACTAAATTATTTGCTGCCCCAGCTTCGGCATTGGACATAAGAAAGTGAAATAATATCAAGTACTACTGCTGCCACTGTTGTATGAATATAAGAGGGCAGTTTTGTGCCAACCTGTCCTCAAGATATTCTGTCTTATTGGCTCAACTTGAAGCGTGTTCCCTTTACTGAGGGGAATATTAAGCACTGATTTGCTTAGACAAATGAGCAAAAATCTCTATTAACACATTTTTCTACAGCTTGAACAATTTCCCCTTAATAGAATTTCATTGACTTTTGAGATAGGAAGTCATCTGGTGTCATCTGGGGCTTCTGCTTTATAAATGCTAAACATTTATAGTATGATGTTAGTTCAGTCTTATGGACATTGTGGCTGTCTCCCCACTTGTGTTGCAGCCATGTGATTATAGGGTAGGAGAGATGGAGTTCTTATTTTCAGAGATTACCTCTGATTTTCTTATTTAATCAGGCAATTCTATGGCTCTTCTCACAGTAATTGCCAGGTCTAAGCAAATCAGTGCCTACTCTTCCCCTGGCTGAAGGGGAATATGTCCAAATTGAGCCAATGAGATATGAGAGGTTACCTGGAGGACTCTGAAAAAGAAGGTTCTGAATCCCTCTGAGAGAGCCAGCAGGTGGATAACCACCCATCATGGTTTGCCTGGGACTGCAACGTTTCTCTGAACATAGAAATTTCAGTGCAAAATCCAGGACAGTCTGGGCAAATTGTGATAATTTGTCCCAATAGTTACCAGAAGTGAACCCTTTCTTTCCTTCTGGGCAGTGTTATGTGCAGATGTAAAGCTTGTGACTTCTGAGGACATTTTGCCATAAAGAAGGAAGCTAGTCTTACAATGAAGTTGACAGAGCAGTAAGCTACTAGAAAAACGAAATTGCGTACAGTATTAGGCCATTCTTGTGTTGCTATAAAGAAATACCTGAGACTGGGTAATTTATGAAGAAAAGAAGTTTAATTGGCTCATGGTTCTGCAGATTTCACAGGATGCATAGTGCCAGTATCTGCTCAGCTTCTGGGAAGGCCTCAGGGAGCTTTTACTCATGGTGAAAAGTAAAGAGGGAGCAGGCATGTCACACGTCAAAAGCAGGAACAAAAGGGAGTGGCAGGGTAGGGAGTCCTACATACTTAAACAACCAGATCTTGTGACTTCTCACTCACTGTTGCAAAGATAGCACCAAGCCATGAGGAATCCACTTCTGTGACCAAACACCTCCCCTCCCACCAGGCCCCATCTCCAACATACGGGTTACATCTCAACATGAGATTTGCACGGGGACAAATACCCAAACTATATCAAGTACATTATGGCATTAAAAATGCCCTGAATCAGGCCGGGTGCGGTGGCTCACGCCTGTAATCTCAGCACTTGGGGAGGCTGAGGTGGGCGATCACCTGAGGTCAGGAGTTCAAGACTAGCCTGGCCAACGTGGTGAAACCCTGTGGCTACTAAAAATACAAAAATTAGCTGGGCATGGTGGCAGGTGTCTGTAATCCCAGCTACTTGGGAGGCTGAGGCAGGAGAATCACTTGAACCTGGGAGGCGGAGGTTGCAGTGAGCTGAGATCACACCATTGCACTCCAGCCTGGACAACAGAGCAAGACTCCATCTCAAAAAAAAAAAAAAAAAATCCCCTGAATCAAATTAGCCCTAAAGCTTCCTTTACCTCTGGTCTTTTCAGTTAAATAAGCATATATATGTATATATATTTACAATGTATATTGTAATATATACTATATATATATTCTTTTTTGTTTATGCTTACTTGAATTTAGTTTCTGCTATTTACAACATAAGGATTGCTTAAGGACACAGTCTTGTGGCAGAGAGTACTGGTTGACCCTCAAAATCACTCTTCCTCTTTCAATGGTCACATAATCCTCAATTTTTAAGTGGGTATAACTGCCCAGAATATAAATACATCTCCAAGCCTTTCTTGTGGCAAGGTGTAGCCTTGTGAGTATGTTCTGGCCAAAAAGATATAAGCAGAAATATTGTGTACAGCTTTCAGGAAGTGTCCTTAAAAGAGGAACTGTGTGCTTTCTCCTTTACCCTTCCTTCTTCCTGAGATGGCTGGAGCTATGTTACAACCATTTTAGATCATGAGAGAATTACAAAGAAATCTAGGTCATGCATGGCAGAGCATCAGAAAGAAGGAACCTGGGTTTCAGAGAATTAGGAAGAAATCAAGGTCATGCATGGCAGAGCATCAGAAAGAAGGAACCTGGGTTTCTGACACAATGAAGCACTATATCCACCTTGGGGCACTTACTTACTACTTTATGTTACAGAAAAATAGACATATATGATGTAAGCTACTGTTATTCTGGGGTTTTCTTTTTTCATCATTCAAAGCTGAGCCAAATCTTAGCTAACACTAAAACTTGTATATGTTTCATTATGTACTTTATTTTAAAAAAATTTTTTTAGACAGGGTTTCAGTTTGTCACCCTGCCTGGAGTGCAGTGGCATGATCACGGCTCACTGCAGCCTCGACCTTCCAGGCTCAAGGGATCTTCTTGCCTCAGTCTTCTAAGTAGCTGGGACTACAAGTGCACACCACCATGCCCAGTTAATTTTCTTTTTTGTTTGTTTGTTTGTAGAGACAGGGTTTCACCATGTTACCCAGGCTGGTCTCAAACTCCTGAGCTCAAGCAATCTGCCTGCCTCAGCCTCCCAAAGTTATGGGATTACAGACATGAGCTACTGCACTTGGCCTCATGATGTACTGTTTGTTGTTGTTG